AGTTGCTCGCGTCTGAGACCGCGGGTCGTGTCACCTCCAAGTGCATCGATTTGATGGGGGGAGTCGGTTTCACCAAAGACTTCCCGCAAGAGAAATATTTCAGGGATGCGAAAATCGGCACCATTTACGAGGGCACGAGCAACATTCAATTGACGACGATCGCGAAGTGCATTCGTAAACAGTACGGCTGAGAAATTAGAAGCGTTACGTACAGAAAGTATTGTTGGCTGTGAATAAATTGGCCAGTGACAAATTATTCCCGCTCAGTAGTTTTATTTTTATCATTTGTACTACTAATGAATAAGAATAATTTGTCACAGTCAGTGATATTTTTCTGTAAGAGGTGATCGTAAAGATCGAGGGTTTATACATAGAAAAGAAGATATGATACTTGTATCATGACTGTTAATATCTTCGTTATTAAGTGGCAAATTCTAGTAATTATATGGAGTCATTTGTTTAGTGACATGCAGTTACATAGTGACGCTAATATGCCGATACACAAGCCGGTGTTTGTTATAATGCATTTTTACTTTTAAACGTTTCGGAATATTTTTAAGACATTTTAACATTTAATATGCGCATAATAACGTGATACATAAATATAAAATGATAGATGTTGCGTGGAAATGTGCCTTTCCAAAACATTATCGAATATGTAAATATACTTCCATGAGATATTTGTGGTTGAAAGTGTATATTTTACGATGACGTAACGTATCTTAAGGATTGTATTATATATCGGTTAAGTGTTCATTTCAGATGTTGTATGTATATTATATATATGTATATATATTTTTTCTCTTCTACAAAATATACGGTTTTGCAGTAAATCGAATTCGTACGCGCTTCTTTATCTGTCGAATGTGTATCTTATGTCTACTTAACATTAAGTAACAGTAACATTACATCAACGTTATAATTTCCAGCTCAATAACATAAATGTAATATAATATATGCTGTGCATAACGATTACATTGTCGAGTAAGATATAACACATGTTACTTGGTATTTCTGTTTAATTGATTGGTTATATACATTATGAACGATTTGCAAATCGTTAAGTATGCGATGCGTATTGTTGCATTCGTTAAGTTGTAAAATGATATAATTTGATATTATGTATCATAAATTATTAGGAATTGATCATGAATGTTAAGTTTCTTACAGCCTCACAGAAGGGCATACAGGAAGTGATCTAGGATCACCGGCCAGAGATCATTTAGGCTTGGTCACCAACGCGATTTAATCAAATCGGTCAAATAAATATAAATCTAGCGGTGTACGATGCTTGTTTTCGTGGTGGATTGCTTATTGGACAGAAATACTACATTCTAATTGGTGCATTTCCAAAAATGGAAGGCAATACACCAATCAGAACGCAGTATTTCTACCCAGCACGAAACAAGCATCGTGTGTCACTAGCTTAATGTAGAATTACCTTAAGTTGTATGAAACTACGCATGCGTAAATATCTCTATAATGCAAGGTTCATTTTCACTTGACGAATAAGCTCAAGCGATCACCAATTAAAACAGCTATATGCATGTCGAATGAAATAGAATCCACATTAAATCGATTTATGTTCATAGCGAGTTAAATTGTGTGACCGTGAAAATTGTAACACCCTAATTAATCTTTCTATTTACATATTACTCCAATCATTCTTTTTAAAACTTTTATTTTGTGGTTCTGTTGGCAAACATGTTTCACTTGGACGAGCTTTTCATTAACACGTTTGCTATCACGTATGTGCGACGCAACAATTTCTTATGCCATACGTGTGACAGCCAAATTTTATTATATCCCGTTAAATTTATCGTACAATCGCATAAACAAATTACGAGTTTATTAGTAGTCTTTGATACTCTAATAAAGGTATTGGTTGTATTATTTCAAATTGCTTATCAAGTGAATACCAACGTTTATAATAAATATGTTGGCCCTGAAAAGGGCCGTTGGTTTGTTTGTTCGGAAAGATGTGATCTTGGTCTAAGTTTTTTAACCACCGAAACCGTACAAGGTTCTTCCTTGACGTTTCAGAGCGTAGACAACGTCCATGGCAGTGACAGTCTTCCTCTTGGCATGTTCGGTGTACGTGACAGCATCACGAATCACGTTCTCAAGAAATACCTTGAGTACACCTCGAGTTTCTTCGTAAATCAGACCAGAGATACGCTTTACACCACCACGTCGCGCCAGACGACGAATAGCCGGCTTGGTGATACCTTGGATGTTATCACGCAAAACCTTCCTGTGGCGCTTAGCACCTCCTTTTCCCAATCCTTTTCCTCCCTTACCACGGCCAGTCATATTGAACAAAGATCCGTACTCTTCTCCGACGTAGCGAGAAATGCGAATCGACTCAACAGCTGCGCTTTTTTATAGAAGTTCGTAGGGCATATCCCCACCACCGCTCCGTCAGCCAATCAGAAGCAGCGCCGAGTTGTTC